AAAAAAAAAAAAAAAAAAAGAAATATGCTTCCAATCCTGCCTTTAAAATACTCTGTTGACCCTACTTCCCACTCCCAGTTCTCTCCTTCTCAATTACAACAGACCTCAAAAGGGTCTTGCCATCTTTTTTTTTACTTGAAGTTCTGGGGTACATGTGCAGAACATGCAGGTTTGTTACATAGGTATACCCATGCCATGGTGGTTTGCTGCACCTATCAACCTGTCATCTACATTAGGTATTTCTCCTAATGCCATCCCTCCCTTAGCCCTCCAACTCCCTGTCATCCCTCTCCTATCCCCCACCCACTGACAGGCCCAGGTGTGTGATGTTCCTTTTCTTGTGTCCATGTGTTTTCATTGTTCAACACCCACTTATAAGTGAGAACATGTGGTGTTTGGTTTTCTGTTCTTGTGTTTTCTCATTCAGTTTGCTGAGAATGATGGTTTCCAGTTTCATCCATGTCCCTGCAAAAGACATGAACTCATCCTTTTTTATGGCTGCATAGTATTCCATGGTGTGTATGTTCCATATTTTCTTTATCCAGCCTATCATTGATGGGCATTTGGGTTGGTTCCAAGTCTTTGCTATTGTGAACAGTGCCGCAATAAACATAGGTGTGCATGTATCTTTTAATAGGATGATTTGCATCCTTTGGGTATATACCCAGTAATGGGATTGCTGGGTCAAATGGTATTTCTAGATCCAGATCCTTGAGGAATTGCCACACTGTCGTCCACAATGGTTGAACTAATTTACACTCCCACCAACAGTGTAAAAGTGTTCCTATTTTTCTACATCCTCTTCAGCATTTGTTGTCTCCTAGTTTTTTAATGACCGCCATTCTAACTGGCGTGAGATGGTATTTCAATGTGGTTTTGATTTGCATTTCTCTAATGACCAGTGATGATGAGCTTTTTTTTCATATGTTTGTTGGCTGCATAAATATCTTATTTTGAGAAGTGTCTGTTCATATACTTCACCCAAAAATATGGAATGCTTCACAAGTTTGCTTGTCATCCTTGCAGAGGGGCCATACTAATCTCTGTATTGTTCCACTTTTAGTATATGTACTGCAGAAGCGAGCACGGGTCTTGCCATCTTTAAATGTTTCCTCCTTAAATCCATTTCAGTAAGTTCTTTTGTTGCCACCATTTCTCTATGCCAGGTTACCAGTCACCTTCACCTTGCTAAAAACTGGTGATGAATTCTCAGTCCTTGTCTTGAATTAGCAGCGGCAGTTGACTGTTTGTCATTTTTTCTTTTTTTAAACACATTTTCCTTTTACCATCTTAGACGCTACTAGTTTTTCATTTTCTTTTTTTCTGAGACAGGGTCTTGCTCTGTTGCCCAGGCTGGAGTGTAACGGTCAAATCACAGCTCACTGCAGCCTCAACCTTCTTGGCTCAAGCATCTTTCCACCTCAGCTCCCAAGTAGTTGGAACTACAGGCACGTGCCACCAAGCCCAGCTAATTTTTGTATTTTTTGTAGAAACAGGGTTTCATCATGTTGCCCAAGCTGGTCTCGAATTCCTGGGCTCAAACAATCTGCCCACCTCAACCTCCCAAAGTATTGGGATTATAGGCGTGAGCCACTGCACCTGGCTTACTCCTAGTTTTTCTTCAGCTTTGCTTGTGTCACCACTTCTCAGGCTTTGCAGATTCATCCTCAGAGGCCCTAAGGCACCCCAAGATTGAAGTCTGGGATCTTTTCTCCCTTCTAGATATACTCACTCCCTTGGTGATCTCACCTGGGGTCTCATAGCTTTATATCCCATGTATTTACTGACGGTTCCCAAATTTATATCTTAGCCTGGACCTCTTGCCCGAGCTTCAGGCTGGCCTTTTCAACAGCCTACTGTCTCCAGTTGTATGTCTAAATGGCATCTCAAATTCTGCATGTCTAAAACTAAGCTCTTATCTCCTCTCTCTCCCGAGAATAGTTCCTCCTGCTCTTTTCCCCATCTCAGATAATAGGGACACCACTCTTCCTATTGTACAGGCTAAAAATATCAGCATCATCCTTGACTTCTTTTTTCTCAGACCTTACATTCAGTTAGCAGATCCCACTGGCTTTACTTTCAGTTTGTAAAGTCCTATCCAGAGTTCAACCACTTCTTGCCATCTCCACTGCCGCCATCTTGGTCAAGCCACCATCATCTCTTACCTGGGCTTTGCCATGATTCTCTTAATTGGTCCCCCTGATTTTGCCCTCATCCCCATCTGTCTCCCCCCAGTAGTAAGCTTTGTGAGGACAAGGATGCTTCCGTCTTGTTTCTCATTAGCCCAAAACAATGCCTGGCACTAATAGATTCTACATAAACATTGATTGAGTAAACAGGATTATTTATGCTTTTCGAGGTGAAAGCTGCAGTAAATTAACTGAGTTTTTACTTGTCCAATTTTCCTTCCTACAGTGGTAGAGCTTTGTGTTCAGTATGGACAGAATGAGGAGGGAATGGTAAGTGAGCTTATAGCCTTCTGCACCAGCACACATAAAGATGGCCTTACCTCAGAGATCCTGAACTCTTTTGAGCATGAGGTAAGAACAAAATGAAAGCAAACTAATAATGTGATTCTCCATTTCTGCTCTACAGGGGAGGCATTGTGATATGTTGAGAAGACAGTGGGATTTTGAGTCGGACCTGGATTCCAGGCCCACTATGAGCTTGGACCAACTTCTTAGTTTCCCTGAGCCTCAGTTTCCTCTTCTGTCATTGGGTCTAATAATCTGTATTTTTTATGATTGTTAAAAGAATTAAATGAGAATGGGCTGGGCATGGTGGCTCACACCTGTAATCCCAGCACTTTGGGAGGCTGAGGCGAGTGGATCACCTGAGGTCAGGAGTTCGAGGCCAGCCTGGCCAACATGGTGGAACTATGTTGACTAAAAATACAAAAAATTAGCCGGTCATGGTGGCACACGCCTGTAGTTGCAGCTACTCGGGAGGCTGAGGCAGGAGAATCACTTGAACCCAAGAGGCAGAGGTGGCAGTGAGCTGAAATTACACCACTGCACTCCAGAGCCTGGGCAACAGAGCAAGACTCCATCTCAAGAACAAAAATAGTAAAAGAATTAAATGAGAATGGACATAAAGCACTTAAAACTATGCCCAGCAGGTGGTAAGTCTTCACCAAATAATTGGTATTATTAGGATTGTTATGTGTTACAGACAGTCATGGGATATCTTGTTTTTAGTCTGTATATATCTTAATTCTTTGAGGAATGTTACATCTTTGATTATATTTTGAAGACCTTTTATTATCTCAAGGCTTTGGAAAATGCTTCCGCTACTATTTGACTATGAAGTAATGTATTCACTATCTTTTCTTTTTCAGTTTCTGAGCAAAAGATTGTCCAAAGCCCGGCACAGTGCCTACAAGGACAGTGGCCATGCGGGAGCTAGAGACATTGTTTCCATTCAAGAGCTGTATCCTTTCTGCGGAAGCTCTTTGCATCAAGCTACATGTTGTATTTTATAATTTGTCTGTAGTTGCATATGTAATTTAAAAACAAATAATAAGGCCAGGCATGGTGGCTGATGCCTGTAATCCCAGCACTTTGTGAGGCTGAGGCAAGCAGATCCCCTGAGCCCAGGAATTCATGACCAGCCTGGGCAACTCAGTGAAACCCCATCTCTACCAAAAGTACACATTTTTTTCTTCTTTTTTTTTTTTTGAGACGGAGTTTTGCTCCTTTTGCCCAGGCTTGAGTACAGTGGCGTGACCTCGACTCACTGCAGCCTCCACCTTTCAACTTGAAGTGATTCTCTTGCCTCAGCCACCAGAGTAGCTGGGATTACAGGTTTGTGCCGTCATGCCCAGGTAATTTTGACTTTTTTTTGTTGTTGTTGTTAAGTAGAGACAGGGTTTCACAATGTTGAACAGGCTGGTCTCAAACTCCTGACCTCAGGTGATCTGCCCGCCTCAGCCTCCCAAAGTGCTGGGATTACAGGCATGAGCCACTGTGCCCGGCCAAAGCACAAATTTAAAAAAAAGATTAGTTGGGCGTGGTGGTACACGCCTGTAGACCCACCTAGTTGGGAGGCTGAGGTGGGAGAATCGCTTGAACCCAGGAGGCAGAAGTTGCAGTGAGTCAAGATCGCGCCACTGCACTTTAGCCTGGGTGACAGAGGAAACCCCATGTCAAAAAATAATAATATTAACAATAATTGTAAAAATCACCTAATATTGAGATTTCTTATAACAATCAGCTGTTGCCTTATATGAGGGTTTATTATGGTTTTTCTTAACCAGTGTTCTTAGAATTGAAGTGGAAGAAGAAGAGGAAATCCTCTTGAACTCGTATACCACACCCTCAAAGGTAAGTAAACGGTGTTTTACAAGTAGCATTTTAAAATAGGTTATCACAACATTTGAAGATCTGAGGGAAAAAAAATCAACCACTCTCATGCATTTCCTACTATATTTCCTCTTATATAGCTTCCTTTCTGATCATATATCTAAATGTTTTACGTAACGGCAGTACTTATAAACATATAGCTATCCTGCTTTTCTCAGCACACCATGAAACATTTCTATAAATGTAATTACAGCATAATTTCCCTTTTTAAATAGTTGCATAGTTTTATTCTGTGATTGAATGATTCAGTTATGTGTCAGATCCTAGTGTGAAAGCCCAAGTAGGGTGGTGAAAAAGCATTGCCTTCAAAGTCTGAGTCAGAAGCCCTAGGTGGCCTTGAGTGAGTTGTTTTATCTCTGAGCCACTGTTTCCTTATTCATAATATCAGGATTCATTCATTCAGTTATCCAGCAACAACTATGTACTGCACTAGACACTGGGTAAACAATGGGAAATGAAACAGACGTGGATGGGCTCTGCCCTCAGGAAGCTGACAGCCAGTGCACAATATTCCCCAGCTTGGAGGACTTGAAGAGGAAGTGACTAGTTAAAGCACCAGGCCCTATGCAATATATTCAGTAGTAGTAATTATTCTTTATACTAACTAAATAAATTTTTAGAAATTCATGAACATCGAGTGAGCCTTAATTATTCAAAGTAAATGACATCATAAGAAAGAAGGTAAGGGCTGGGCGCAGTGGCTCATGCCTGTAATCCCAGCACTCTGTGAGACCAAGGCAGAAGGATTTTGAGCCCAAGAGTTTAAGACCACACTGGGCGACACAGTGAGACCTCACCTCTATAAAAATAATTTTTTTTTTAAAGTTGGGTATGGTGGTGCACACCTGTAAGTCCCAACTACTTGGGAAGCTGAGGTGGCAAGATCACTTGAGCCCAAGAGGTTGAGACTTCCATGAGCAGAGATCATGCCACTGCTCTACAGCCTGGGTGACAAAATGAGACAGTGTCTCAAGAAGAAAGAAGGCAAATAGTTTAGATTTGCCTGTGGAGAGCAAGAAAGCCAAAAATGTGCCTTATGAAGTTACTAACACAAAACCAGGTACATATAATGTTAAAATAAATAATTAGGTGTTTGTTAGAGTTTCTTCAGATTGGAGAGACTAATTCATTTGATTTTCCCCATAAAGTAGTTTTCTGAGTCCATGTCCCAGTGAAGGACACCTCCATTCTTCCACTGATTCAGGCCAAGAGCCTTGGAAACCTCCTTGAATCCTTTTTCTCTCACACCCCACATCCAGCTTATTCCTGTCATCCCTCTCCGGGATCTGGCCACCTCTTGCCACTTCCACAGCCACCACCAGGTCCACTGCTACCACCAGGTTCACAGCATCATTGTCTCCTTCTGAATGATCGGGACAGTCTCCTAACTAGCCCTTGGCTTCTTTCTTTCATGTCCACCTCTAACCGACTCTACCCAGAAGCCAGAGTGCTCTTTTCCAGCGAAAGGTCAGGTTTTCTTGCTCACATTTCTCCCACTGGCTTTCCATCTTTACTCCTAATACCCAAAGTTTGAACCAGCATGTGTGAACTTCTGTAGGAGCTGGCCCCCTCCTCCCTCTGTCCTCTTTCCAGACTCTCCCTTGCTCTCTGCTTCTGCCATGCCAAATGTATGTCCACTTCCTATGTCTCCTTGTCAGACGGAACAAGCCTGCCTAAAAGAACAAACCCCCTCCTCTATTTTATTTTCTTCCTTTATTTTTATCCA